TACCAGTCACTCCATGCAATGGAAACTGGGATAGGCCTCGGCTGGATGGGACTAAACGAAAAAGCCCGGATAATCGAGGGTTCGAATAATCGAGAATACGAATATTAATTAATGAGGAACAAAAACTGATTAAATTAAGAGAGTGACATTTAATCCTGAAACAGAACATCTACAAATTGTTTTGAAAAAGATATGTTCTACATCTTCACTTTCCTACATGCACGTGAATACCTCTATACGTGTGTTTTAACAATCAAAATTAATGAAAAATGTTTTTCATCAGCTTAACATGTTGAAGTCTGTAATTTGTCTTAAAGAAGAACATCGCCTTTACCCCACTTTTCAATGCTGTAGTTTTAAAAAGAAAATGGCTACAGATCTAGATCATGATGACTGATAAATATTCATGAAAGAATTGGGACTGGAGAAAAAGTCCAGATAATCGAGGTCTGGATAATTGAGGTTCAACTGTACAGACTTCAGGGCCCAGTTGTTTGAAGGTCGATAAGTGCTAACCCAGGGTTATTTTAATCAAGGTCTCTATATTTCTCTCAGGTTCAAAAGCCGTTTTGGGATAATTTTCCCAATTTTTTAAAAGAGAATTCAATCATCCAATTGTAGACAAATGGAATTAAGCTGTATTTTTTTTCAGAGCTTTCAGATCTGAAATCAAATTTCACACTAACCCTGGGTTATCTTAACACAGCTTTGAACAATCCGGCCCAGAACTGTAACTACCTGCTACACAAACCTTCATTCCAGAAATGATTCGAGAGTCGGGATAAGTCTTTCGTTGTACCCCCATAGGATCTCCGGAAACGAAAGCGCACCAGTCCCAAAAATACTTTTCAATCTATTTTCTTGAGGAATAGCGATAAAAAAAAAAATCCGCCAACTTTAAACCGAACTCAGTATTTTACCACATTAAGTGGTATGCTATAAGTATGACGCTTTTTCTCAAATTGGTTATGTTGGTTTTTATTCCCCCCTTCCCTCCCCTCTCTCCTCAACCATTTTTAAGCTGCAGTTCCTAAACTTTGAGATATTCTGTTGGCATAAGACTTCTTTGCACAATGCTTTGAAAAGAAAACAATATTAAGAGTGTTATGTTAGTCCCATTAGAGGCGGATACAGGAAAATCGCAGTAAATGTTTTAGAAAATTGCGCGTCAAAGAGCCCTCCCTTTTCAAATCACCTAAATGGGGACGTGAGGTGATTCCAAGAGTTTAAAATATTTCGAGTTAAATCTAAATAAGGTCTTTGGAATACCACACCTCTCCCCGTCAATCACTCCTCTCCCATCCCCCACTCATAAGTATTTCATTCTTCTTGATTATGATGTAGTAAGACGTGACTTGTCAGCAGTCCACAGATCACAGAATTTGAAACTTTCCAGTTAAAGCCTCGTGCACGTGACAGTGTGTAAGGAGAGGGTTCTGGCATGTTAGCTGTGATTCAACAAAGTGAAAAAGGTTCGAAATTAAAGAAGAGAATATTATCAAGACTGTGACATCTGGTTCCTGCAACTGATCACCCTAGAGCAGTCACTGAGATTAGTAGTTGAGATTAACCAAAATTTTAAGAACATACCAAGAATATACCCAGGCTGAGAGTCAGTCAAGAACATGTTGCTTGTTTTTTTTGGTTTTTGTTTTGTTTTTTTGTGAAAAGTATCAATACAGGTAAAAGAAATGTAAAACTGTGTAACAGAACAATTAACTCAAATACTTAGGGACATTTTTAGACATTAACAATGCCGTTTTCTTATTGTCCGATACATCTCAGTTTTAATTCGGTCAAGCCTAGTCACGTCCGCACTGATTTATCGAGTTACTATACTACACAACTTTAAGAACATGTTAAGAACATTGTTATTTTTGAGACGTTCTTGTAAAAAGAAAAAAGAGTGTTTTGATCTTGTAAGGAGAAAATCTATCTTGATCACTCATGGGAGTTGAAGGCGACGATGTGGAGTTTGGAGCGAAGAACGTGCTTGGGAACGTCTTATTTACAAATTTTGAAATACATTTTGACAGAAACCTTTTCCAGTGTTAAGCAAATCTATTTTGATAATCTACTTTACACCGGAACTGCGTCAAGGGATTTCCCATTGGTCACACGTACAGGTTAGAGACGGTCGAAATAAAGACCCGTAATTGACCTTTAAAAGCAAGTGTGGTGAAGACAAATCAATCAGTATTTCCAAGCGTCCAAGTTCTTCACTTTGCCTCTTTCTTAAAACAAAGGCGTCTTGTGACTCAAACGCAACTCATTCCACTGCAGGTCAGGTATCATTGCAAAAGACAAACTCACCAGCTTACAAGTAGACCCATTATTAGCGCTTCGGCACGGGCAGGTTTGTTCGAAAATATGAGACCTTGCGCATGAGGCTCTCAATGGGGTGATGCCTTTTACGGTTAACGGTGTAAATTCTGGCCAATTTACGGCTAAAGGTTAATATCTTTCCATTGTGTTGGCCTGAAATATTCTTTCGGTTAACCTTTGTACGAGTAACGGTTAAAACTTGTCAAAGCCTAAATTTTGGTCGTTTTACGGCCAACGCTTTACCCCATTGAGACTCGCAGGGAAAAGTGAGTCGGCGAGAGATCTGTCTTGTCGGCTTATACTACTTTGCGAATCAAAACGAAACGAATCGAAACGAAACCAGGCGAGATCTAACGAAACTAAAAGGATAATGCCGATATATTTTCTAATAAGGCAAAGATAACTTTCAAAAGGATTTTAGAGTAATCGTTAACTAATAATAAGGATTTTGACTCATTTCGCAAAGTAGTAATTTAAGAAGAGTTACTATTTTGCGCAATCCTATTTCATATCACACAGATACATATGCGTTATTAACCAAGCGTGAGGTTAGGATGGCTGGATAATGGCCTCATTCTCTTTTCGCATTTTTATGGACTGAGAAGAAGTCGAGGTCCACAAAAATGCGAAAAAAGAATGAGGCTAATATCCGGTCATCTTGACCAAACAAGCCTGGTTAATAAAGGATTTATTATATTGCAAAAAGATTTCGCATTATTAAGAATTAAGAAAAACTCGTTTACTTCGAGAGCCGAGAAAGAAAGCCAACTTTAATTTGCTTCTAGCACAACAAAGTCACGAGAGTCGTTTCTGTTTTCTTTGTTTTGACCATCCTCTGCCGCTTTTTGCGTTTCCATCGCCGAAATTGTCAAAGAATTACAAAAGTATTTCTAATTCTATTTTCTTTTAATGCGCAAGATCAATGCGGGCAATCCCGAACGGGCAAGATGGGCCCATTATGCCCGCTCGGGTAGCCAATCAGAACGCAGGATTCGCTTGATCTGACCCACGGGCGCTGAGAGTGATGTAATAAGTTTAAATATCACAAATTAGTATATTGCCAGATTAATTCTACTAGACAAGAGAGAGAAGCTTTCCAAGGCGTACGAATAGCTTTCAAAAACTGGCAGTTTCTTCGCAGCCGCAGCCGTGCTGTCGGGGCAGCAGATATGTCACGCAATTTACGCTTCACAAAGAACAGATTCGCCGTGACATGTTCACGGATCTTTTTTCCCACAGATCAATCCGGATTTATCAGATTTAATTTCTACAATGAACAACTCCTTAATTTTGACGTCACTGGTGTTCATTTTGCCGCTGATCGCATCGTGTGTAGCAGTGACTGACAATAACAGTAATAGCAATAGTGGCGGGGCTTGTGGTCAAAGTCACTGCTCTTGCGCGCCTGGCATCCCAGGCATCCCTGGGAGCCCTGGACCCGCAGGACCTGCAGGTGTAGCGGGATCACCAGGCCCTCGAGGACCAGCAGGGGACAAAGGAGACGCTGGGACACAAGGAGCTCCAGGGTCTGCTGGCCGAGAAGGTCCACAAGGAATTAAAGGTGACGTCGGTGACAAAGGAAGCCAAGGAGCTCCAGGTCCTCAGGGACTACCAGGTACATTGGGAAGTAACTGGAAACAGTGCGTGTTCAAAGACCTGAACGACGATAGGGACACTGGATTGGTCAAGGTAAATGACTGCATTCGCGTCGTCAATATTTCCCGACAATATTTCCCCATCAGTTCAGGCTGTTAAGATATCTAGTATAATAAGCTTAAAAAACACTGTCGCATCTATTTGTTATAGCGCGCTCTGAGATTAGTCAATAGTCCTTTTTACAGTTGTGGGCTTGGTGGCCAAGCCTTTGAACTGGAGTGAGGCTAAGGGTGACCTTGTTATGATAGAGATGTTGCTGCTTTTCAAATGCAAATTTCTTTATTATCATGCTAACTAGATACAGGTCTCTATCACAACAAGGTCACCCTTAGCCTCACTCCTGTTCAAAGGCTTGGCCGCCAAGCCCACAACTGTAAAAAGGACTATTTAGAGGGTCGCGCCATAATTAAAAGCTGTGTTTATTGCCAAAACACCTCGCTATTATCGCCAGTTCGTGTTTTTATTTTTTGAAGGGAAAATAAAAGTCTAAACAACAGTATGTCTTGAAAACCTGCTCACGACTGCACATAAATTAGAGAGGATTCGTTTTGTTCTCGGCATGCGTTAATAATTTGAAAGCGTTCTGAGTGACCAGAAACCATTTCCAAACCAGTCAGGCACAACGAAGAGATATGACAAATACAAAATCAAACCTCATCTACTCACTACCGTACCATAAGTAACATATCATGGTCTTTTTTTTTCTTCGCGATCTAAATCTAAGAGGAAAACTCTGTTCCTAATTTACAGCAACGACCTCAAACTCGATAAATGAAATAAGTAAGAGGAGAACATAAATGCCTTCGACAAAATGGAGAACGCTTTCTAATCTCGTGGTGGACTGGGATCTCGTGGGTTTCCTGCGAACGCAAGCGATAGTTGCGGGCAAGCAATGACGTCACATTTTGTAATGTATTAAAACTGAATTAAACATTCAACTCCAACCTTCCCCGGTTTCTAACTAGAATTTTGTCCCCAAACTTCCTCTGTTGTTAGAGGATCAATCCGTTTTGATGACTTAAGGGGGGACTGGAAAGGGTCATTTAAAACTGACGTTTAACGCCTTGAAGGCGCATCGTAACCAGTGAATTTATGTTTGCGTCTTTTTCCATAATCACTTTTTGTTTGAATTCCTTCTATTAAGAAGATTCTTGAGTGCGGCAATTCATTGTTGATGATTTTCCCAGGAATGTGTTTTCAACAAATTGTCCGCTAACACTGGCATTCGTGTCTACTGGAATGGCGCTCTCCGTATCTACAATTGCAACGCTTGCTGCAGACGTTGGTATTTCACCTTCAACGGCGCGGAGTGCTCGGCCCCCGCTGCCATAGATGGTATAGTGTACATGATACATGGCGATGGAGGTAAGAAGAATTTACACCGAGTGCGACAAATCGAAGGAGTATGTGAGAAAGTCCCCCCGGGAATCGTACGCGTGGGATTCTGGGTCGGCAATTGCAAAGGTGTCGGAAATGCTGACGCTTATACGGGCTGGAACTCAGTATCCCGGATTTACGTGGAAGAAGTACCAGCTCCTCAGGCCTAAAACGATATTGAGCTGAGAAATGAAAGAAGGAAAACTTTCTTATTCTTTGATTTACGGAGATAACGGATTTAAGGCACTAAAGCTATGTAGATTAGAAGATTAAGCCGGAATACACAAAGCTCTTTCTTGCTTCTACGTGATGAACTGAAATAGAAAGAAATGATGTTATGATTTCGTAGAGCTGAAATTAAAGTGAAAATATAATCTAAACGTAGGCAGTCTATGACCGCATGTATCTACGGGATTATTTATTGTTGATCGACTTGTGTTGGCTGATTTTAATCAAAGACTAGTTTTTAATATAAGGGGAGCAGATATTATTAAATGGAATGACCCAATTGAATTGTAACCAGAAGCAATTACTCGTATAAATATATTATGTTAATTAATTAACACATTGACACCTGAACTGCCCGAACCGCGCGATTGGCTCGCGCGAAAATGCTTTTCCTCTGCCTTTCCTACGAAGCAGAAATTTGTCCCTCAGACTTCCTCTATTGTTAGGAGATCAACAAACCAATCAGAACCCGTCGTTTTCACATGTATTTTGATGGCTTTAGGGAGTAATAGAGGGGCATTATTCTATGCGTTTACATTAAATGATAAAATTTAAAAATATGGCGTCCGCGCGGCCGCCATATTTTCAAAGTCTTATATTTACAATTTTCAAGTCGGATTTCTCGTTCCTTTGCGATTGAGTTAGACCTTGTGGAACTCAGAATCAGTGTAAAGTAGCAATGCTATAAAATACTCTGTTTGGAAAATGATGGATATCAAGGTCTTAAAGGTGACAGAATAAGCTTTCGAGTCAACGACACTACGATTCACTAAGGCGATGCGAATTGTGGCCTCAAACCGAAAACTGAACTTTCGGACTACAAGCAGGGCCTAGCGACAATTTGACGATTCTATGATGAGCCGGTAAACATTACGTTTGAGTAACAGTGTGTTAAAAAAATATTGTTTCATAGAAGATTTTGTGCGAAGATTCTGATAGTCTAAGGACATAAACTTTTGCACTTAGCCACCATGTGGACGATCACAACAGTCATTATGTTGAAAAACTGGAAAAATGAATAAAAAGAAAACCATGGCAATTGCGAGAAAAGCTTTGCGAGAAGCTACAGAGAGGCCGGCCAAATAAAGTACATTCAAAGTCGCTTCCCTAAAAATTTATTTCAATTTCGTCAGTGTTACTGAGAATTGAAGCTGCGTTCCAAAAAGGTCCGTGATTAACTCGCCGAAGGCTCACGAAACCAAACCATGATTTGCCAAAACGTGAAAGCTGAAAACTTCAATTATGCCAAGATGAATGTGAACTGAAGGCGTGGAACGTAGGCATGCTGAAATCTGTAATATTCACTGAGGGTCTTACAAACCACTGAAATCAGTGGAACTCTTATTCAGATAAGATGAACTTCATCTTATCTTATTTGAACGAAAAATGCATTGCTTCTACAAAGCTGTGGGCCAAAGTGAAATATTTCTCTAAGACAAACCTTGCCAGAGGCTAACTATATAGGCTAAACCCTAAAAGGTTTCAAGAAAACTGCAAAAAAAAAAAAAGGAAGTTATACAGCTCCATAAAAGGAGAAACTGCTGAAGGCTGAAATGCTTATGACAGGATGAATGGCTGAGCCGAAACCACACAGGTACCACTGAAGGTAAACAATTTTCAAAAACAAGAAGCTAATAACATTGCCAAGCCAAAAAGTGAAACCATTTTTATGGAGAGGAAGGTGAAATATTCCAAATAAAGAAAACTAAAAGCTGAAGGTCTCAGACGAAAACTGAAAGCCTCATTGGTAATAAGATCTAGACTCTATTACTCGCCAAAAGTTGACGAAATATTCCAGTTGCTATCTTCCATTTCATGGTAGAAAGAGATCACTTTAATTCCCAGCAGCAGGAAGGTATACGAGGTACACGTTATTGGTTCGAGGAATTCAATATACGAGTTTGATATCACTGAATACATACAGTGCTGATCGATAAGGCTAAGGTGGTTTTGTTCTTGGAGAAATGCACTTGTGGGGGAAGTTATGGGCCAATTTGTAGCCTTCAACCCTCAAAAAGTAGTTTAGATTGTGTGAGTAGTTTCGAAACATTAAATAGGACACACAAAGTTATAAACTTTCAATGTTTAAAATCACAATTTTGCCGGTACCATGCCTGGTTGCTTTGGAAAAAAAAAATATAGTCAGGTCGCCTGAAGAAAATTTCGAGAAGTGTTGCTCTAAGGATCTGGTCCACATAAATAGGTTCTAAAAAAATACAGGACCGCTCAATGACAACGATCAAAATGATAATTTCGTCATATTTTCCACAGGTCAACAAGGATTTTTTAGAAATATTTTTCACGATGAATATTCGGCCATTTTTGGTGTCGTGGGTTCTCGTTTTATCACTGATTACCTCATGTGCAGCGGCAGGTAAAGACAGCAGTGGTAAGGTACGTAACAACGAAATGAGGTAGACCTAATTTGAATAGTCAGCCTTCTCCCCGTCCCAATCCCCCGCTCGTCCCTCCAAGAGTCGAGTGAAGACGGTTCACACTTCAGACAAAGTTAGACTTAAAGCTGTTGACATTACATTTGGTTTTATCAACCGAGTTAATAATAAACAATTATTGGATGAGGTTTTTGTGATATCCGGAATAATCAAGGTCGAGGGAAGTGTTATCAGCCGAAGCCGAAGGCCGAGGCTGATAACACTAACCAAGACCTTGATTTTTCCGGATATAAATAAATAAATTAATAAATAAATACGTAAATTGAAGCTCCCCCTTAGGGGCTTTTCTGCCACAATGTAAACTAAGTGCCTAAGAATCCCCACTGGCAGGAGGCAGACCAGTGGGCAGCCGAGGAGTTGAACCAGGGGCAACTGAGAACAAATCCAGAGAGTGGCACGGTAGAGGACTGGAACCCGGGACCCCAAATCACAAGTCCAGCACCCTAACCACTCGGCCTCGCCGCCTCCACAAAAACCTCATTCAATAATTGTTTATTATACATTCTTTTAGTATTTTCCGAATCTTTATCCTCAAGTAATTTCTCAATTTCTCGCTGGGTCGATGAAGCGAATCGAGAAGCCATTCTTACTTCGCTGTCCGTGAACTTGAAATGGCTCCACCGGAAATCATGCATTGCGCGCGCAACCTACAGATTATTCACTAATCTGAAGGTACAGATAAGTCAATAATCTGTGGGTTGCGCTCTTTCCCAGAATTAACTGTAGGCGTTTAGCCAATGAGAAGGCAGATGGTGACTACAATGTATAATAATGTAAATTAGCTGCTGTTAAGATTTTCTAAAGCTGACGTTTCAAGTGTTTGGAAAAGGAAAGGAGCGAACGGTGCTAGAGAAATCATAATTTCAAGAACCACTCAATAAGCTGGATTCAGGAGTTAACTATACAACATTTTTGCTGCATTTAGGAAAATCAAACAAAGTCACTGGACAGAGCTTGTTGTCATAATTCCTGCTCTTGCGCGCCTGGTATCCCAGGTATCCCTGGGAGCCCTGGACCCGCGGGACCTGCAGGTGTAGCGGGACCAACCGGTCTTCGAGGAACAGCAGGGGACAAGGGAGACGCTGGGACGCCGGGAGTTTCAGGGTCTTCGGGCCGAGAAGGTCCACAAGGAATTAAAGGTGACGTCGGGGACAAAGGAAGCCAAGGAGCCCCTGGCCCTCAGGGACTACCAGGTTCATTGGGAAGTAACTGGAAACAGTGCGTTTTCAGAGATCTGAACGACGGTAGGGACACTGGATTGATTAAGGTATGCATTAAAGATGATGATCTTATCAATTTTAATAAAAAATGAACATGAGAACAAAACTAGTGCGAGCTAGTAGCGATGGCGTTAAGTTTTATGTGCGATTTCACTGATTTCTATTGTGCGGCAATCTTCTTATTCTTGTGTCAGTTTCAATGTGACTGTGTGACAGACACTTGTATTATATATTACTTGAGTCAGAGCGGTAGATTTGGGCCAAGCAAAAACCAAAATTCGAGTTTCCAAGATAGTTCTCTGAGGGAATTCTCCAAATATTTCTTACGCACAAAATGTAGCAGATTTTCAGGTACGATCTCATAGTATCAAACCCATTTTTGTGATACTCTGGTTTTGTGACTAACTTTTAACTTTACGGAACTTGAACTTATTCGCAGGAATGTCTTTTCAACAAAATATCTGATGAAACTTGCTCTGCGCGCCTTCTGGAATGGAGTACTCCGTATCTATAACTGCCACGCCTGTTGCAGACGATGGTATTTCACCTTCAACGGTGCGGAGTGCTCGGCCCCTGCTGCCATTGATGGCGTGGTGTACATGATCCATGGAGATGGAAGCAAGAAGGATTTACACCGTGTGCGGCAAATCGAAGGAGTGTGTAAGAAAGTTCCTCGGGGAATTGTGCGCGTGGGATTCTGGGTTGGCAACTGCAGGAGTTACGGAAACGCTGACGCTAACACGGGCTGGAACCCAGTATCCCGGATTTACGTGGAAGAATTACCACCCTCACAGGATTAAAACCTGCTAAACAGGACTGCCAAACTAAAAAGGATCTACAACTAAAGCTTTAAAAATGCGGAATCAAAACAGTAATTGTCCATTAGCAGCTACTTTCGAAAGTAAAACTGTTCATGAGATAAAAAAGTTTGGAAGAGCTAAAACTGAGTAAAACCAGATGCAAAAGAAAATTAAAAGGATTGAAATTAAAACATAACAAGGATTGACCGACATATATCTCAGAAAGATATGCTTATAACAGGTTTAGTCTTAATAACCACAACCTAAGGCGAAGACGAGCGATTAAAATTGTAGTTTGTTCCTTTTTTAGCCGCTGATCACGAGATTGTTCATCGGTGGAGTGGGAACCCATTTTCATGGGATCCCATACATCAACACCAAGGGAAGCCACAAAGGTTGCTAGTGAAACTACTGATTAATATATTTAATACTATACAGACAAACAGACGAGCATTTAAAATTGTAGTTTCTTTGAAATGTTTGACCAATTTGCGTCGATCCTTCAAAAGCTATTTTGTTCTCTGAAAACCTTGTGCATTAAGCTTTTTAACTTGTGTAATACCTAAAGTTCTACGAACCTTCCTTTTTCGCTCACTCTCTCGCTCGTCTTCATTTACCGACATCCTGGAACACGTTGCATGTTTCATCATGGTCTTAAAATAAGTGAGGAGAATTTGCTACCTTTCTATAATATCAACAAATGGATAAGTATTCTAGTCTTCTCGGATAAGGACGAATAAACCGTATGCCCCGTCTCCTGCAGGGTTAGGGGTAGGAGACGTTAATTTCCCACGCACGAGATTACTGTGTGGTGGATGTCCTCCCCTGTGGTGGGATGGGAGGGAAGGTGAGATCGTTACATGGACTGAAGCGGCTGCCAGAGGCGCCTGATAATGCTGACGTCCGATCTCAACCTTATCATTGTAACTAGACACGTTTGTTGTTTAGAGTGCTTAAGACTTTCTTATCACTTGTCTACTACAGATTAGTTGTCTTCCCCCTCATCTGGGGTCAAATGGCGTGGATACAGAATATGCTGGTATCTGAGGTCACTACTTCAATGAAAAACTCCTTGCGTAGCCCACCATAAATTTCTGAGCTGTGAAGAGATAATATTGATAGTGTGGCGGCCACTGGGAAGTCACTTTGTTACTGACTGTGTAACATAGAAAGTGACGGAAAATTTGTCGTGAAAGGTTGCACGTGCTCATAATAAAGTTTTCCCGTTTCGGTATATTTAGTAGTTGACCAAGTAAGCTATTATTTCGTGTCGCTAACATTGATTTGTGGAATGTCAAAGGAAGTATTAACCCGGCGTCGTGTAATCGAGCCTTCACAAACACTAATGTATTTAATCAAATAGTCGCTAGTAAAACCGCATGCGTAGATTAACACTTTGATTGTCAAGCAAGCCGATGTAACAGGAAATTAGTGGCCATGAATCATTGAAGAATGTGTAAAACAAAACTGGAACTTTTTGTCAAGTTAGCTTAAATTATCTTACCACTCCGGACATACGTAGCTGGGTGTGAATATCCGTAGCTCATAAAACATAGCATTTTTGTAACTCTAAAAAGATGGGATTGACATAGGTCGTAGAACAGAACGTGTAATGTTGGATTGTGAAGAATAAAGTCAAGTTAACCGAAAGTATACAGTCCAAGTCTGTAGAACCAGCGTGTGCAGAGTTTCCTTCTAACGTAAGTGAGAAAATCTGCGAAAAAATTCATCAATTTGTAAAATCTATTGCCCCGCACGTTGCTTTTGACAAAGTTGATCCTGGCTGTATACAAAATGCATAGAGACATAGGACCCTTGTAATGACGAAACTCACGAATGAGCTGACTGCACTGCGTGGTACAACATCTGACCCTAAAGCCGTCTGATTCCTTGTGAAGAACTCCTTTATTTTCGTTTTCTCATGCTCCTGACTAAAGCAAAACATATTTCCTTATAACTGCAAAAGTTATCTTAATCTTTATTTACTCGTGATGGAAAAGGCGAAAGATCACCCAATCGCCGTGGGGGTTGCCATGAATCTACGTACAATCAGGATGTTAAATCAACGGCGGGCGTATTACAGCTTGTCAGCTAAAGTAATAGCGTTCTTTTTCAATTTCTTTCTAAAACTTCTTTTCCGGCTAAACGTGGCTTGATAACCGTCATTGCTCTGAGACTGGTGACAAGCTCGTATAGCGCGAGCTAGATCCTGGTCATGTTCGGCGACAAAATTTATCACTGCAACAGAAATAGAAGAATCTGTACCAATTTGAATACTGCTGGGTGCAGTTAAAATATCGGTAGCACACTAAAGATGATTTATAAGCGATACACTTCAACCTAACCTTGAAAATACCATAGTGACACGTGCACAACATTTGCACGGTTGTTTATACCATTGGGATAAAAATTTGACTCGTGGCACTACTCTCGTCCCAAAGAAACCACGGCTGGTCGGTTTTTACTCAGTGTTTAGACTAAATGGTGTGTTTTAACGGTTTCCGATTGTCTAAACGCTGGAACATCTGTTGTGAGTTTTTCTCGAAGCAATTTCGATTAACTAAATTCTTTTATTTGAATTTTGCATGGTAAGTCACCGTTCGCATCCGCCCGAAAAATTTGGTAAAAAGTTCAACTTGAAGGTTAAACTCCGTGTCCCCGAGGGTCGTTTTTCGACAATGATATTTCGTTCACATTAATTAAAAAAAATTTCATATCCTACCTTTGCCCGATGCACCTGCCCTGGCCGTCCTTCCCGTGCGATGCAGCACCTGTGTGGCGCTCAAGGCAAAGTCCAACTGAATCACATGACTTACATCCGGGATGTCCAGCCCTCTAGATGCTAAATCTGTGCAAATCAAAACCTTTAATTCACCAGATGTGAATTTCTTCAGCGTGTCTATTCTTTCAGCAGGCAAGATATTTTTGTGAATCTGTCCAACTTTGCCTGGCCATAGATCTATATACCCAGTATGTGTCACAACGCGTCTTTGTGCCTTTGCTCCAGCATCTCTGTCCAATTCTCCTGGGTCATTTTGCCAAATTGTTGTAGTTTGGTCGTTCAGGATGACATGTTTCCAAGGCACTGAGTCACTCTCCCCTCGCTCTGCAGTGCCACTGAGGAAGTTATAAGCTTCTTCCGCAGCTTTTGTAGTGTTAACAAACACCAACACCCGTAAATTTTTCATTCCAACTGTCTCAACACAGGCTTCTCCTTGCCTTCTTTGAGATTCACCATCAATAGTTTCCTTTCCAAGATCCAGTCTCTCAGCCACCCTTTCACCTGAATACGATTTTTCGTCTTCTCTTTTACCGCTAGAATAATTCGTGCTATGATCAACGTTTGCCTCTTGCATAGAAGTCGCATCTTTGTTATTTGCTCTTCCAACAGTGCTAAGTGGATACCTGATCAACCCCACTAGCGAATTCAGGCAACGCAATAACTCAGGCAGTTTAAGAGCATCTTCTACCTTAATGTAACATATATCTACTGTTGGCACTATGTGATGGGCCAAATCTGAGGAGATCAATTCAGCATCTGGTAACCATTCTCTTAACACATTGCATATGTCCTTTTCCCCACGAGAAGGCAACGTTGCAGCCACAAATATAAATTGCCTTTGAAGAGCCAAAGCAGTTGTGCTGGCATAAAAACCTGAAGCTTCACCTGGCGAATGTACATTTCTAACAAACTTGTGTCCATTTGAATCCTCATCATGTACTTCAGCATCACAAATAAATTGTTTAGGCCTCAATCTTTGCTTTTTTCGCCTCTTTGTGGTGATATCTACACCCATAAAATAACTGAGAATTTCGTATATTTCTTGTTGTCCATTAGTCAACAAGAAGTCTGCTTCATCAGTAACCACTACTCTAATGTTGCTTAGAGTTCTGGGGCTATAAGTGGACAGCACACTGGGTGTGGCCAGTATAACGGGGTGCTTGGAATTTATTTGTAACTTGGAGTCTTTATGAACAGTGCAGGGCAGCATTGAGTCATCTGTTAGACTTTGAAACACACTGGCAATCTATTCAGATGAAAGAAAACAATAAAGAACTGTTATCTTCCTTAGCAGCCTAAATTGAGTCCTTAAGTGTGACGTCACGTTACCATGGCGCTAAAAAATGCAGTTCTAAACAAAATATCTTATGCGAGCGCTTTGGACACGCTTCCTTTGTTTTGAATGTCTAAAGCTTTAATTATCCAGTGTAATCCCACAAAAGACAGTAAAAAAAAAAACAGGAAAGGTTAAAGGGTCATCCAAGGGATCAACTTTTGTTTAAGAAGTGTAAAGGACGCGGGTCAAACGGGCAAAATGGTTTACTGTTTTGCTCCTACATGTGGCCATTCGTCGGAGGGCAACACTTGCAAGTTCTTCGCTTTTCCAAGCGCTACAAAGCAGAACGACGAGTACAAGAGATGGATTCGACTCATAAGGTATGAACTGATATTCAAAAAGAATTCCTTAATCGGTGAGAATTTGATGAATTACGTGATTTTAAGTGAGATTTACGGACTCTATTCAGGTGAAGAGTTGACATCAGGACATGAGGGAGAATCATCGAATACTGAATTATAGAAGCTTCAGCTAGTTGTCTTTTTAACGGTCGCTTTGTATTTTCCGTAGCCAAAACCTTAAATCTGAGTGCTTCATCGTGTTTTTGGAATTTAGATACATTTAAAACCAATGTAGATCTGCTATGTAACGTGCTTGATCGATTCACGAAATGTTTCGCGTCGCTTCGCGATTTTGCCTTCGCTGGTTGTGGAACGGCTATGTTGTTGACAACAGAATCACTAAATCGGGTGTTTTGTTATTAACAGAAGAGAAGATCGAGAGCCCAGCAAGTACTCAAGAGTATGTAGCTGCCATTTTAGGAATGGTCAGAAAGCCAATGGTCCTGAAGTGTTTGAACGCAATAAGCATAAGTTATTTACTGAACAAAGGGGTCCACCGCCGAAGAAAATAAAGAATACTGAATCAAAGGTAGAGTCTCTTTCACAGATGATAGAATTTGCCCGAAAAAATGAACAGCCATTAGTAGCTGACACAGAAGAAAACCTGCAAACAACACAGGAGATTATCCTGGAAGCAGAGCTTGACTTTGCCAACAGGGAGCTAAAGGAACTTAACCAAACTGTCCAGTATAAGAGGAACAAGTACACTGTGTCTGCGCTTGAGGGAGATGTAATACGAATGGAGACAGGTCTTCCAACCAAAGAAGTCTTTAATATTGTTGTAAAGCATGCTCTTAGATTTAAAGATAGCGTGAACTATTTTGCTGGATGGAAGGTAGAATCCATCAATTTTGAGGATCAAATTTTTATCACTTTAATGAAAGTACGACAGAACTACACACAGCTTCACCTAGCCCAATTGTTTCATTGTAGTGTGGCCACAATTTCTAACATTGTTATAACATTCACTCATGTTTTGCATGAAATTTTGTTTGA